CCCTTTTTATGGCTCATCTCATATTAACGGGCAGCGTTCCTGCGCTCTTATATATATGTCCGCGGGGAATTAGTCGGGCCATGTGTCGGGTGTCGTCGAGAAGCCCGCGCTTTTGAACGGCACGCGGATGCGGCCGGAATTGATCGAAATGACCCCATGCGGCTCCGTAATTACGTTGTTCATCGTTGTATAGCTGAACATAATGTAATCCTCATCAATCCAATGACACCCTATAATTAGCTGACCCGCCCCCCATAAACACAACGAACACATGTGCTGGGTTCCTTGGGAGAACTAAGGAGGAGTGTTTCCAGTTAGAAAAGGTTGTTCTGCTGCTGGACGACTTTAAAAGCAGGTAGGAGGCATCCGCTAATGCTGCTAATTGCTGCCTAATTACTTATGTGCATCATTTCCGGAGGATGATTGCAGCCAGCACCTAGCTAATATTACTTAGCGACTTATGGGCTCATGTCAGCATTTTGCACAACACGTTTGTGTCAGTCCCAAGTTCAAACGTCCTTTAGTCTCGACATGGATTGTTTTAATTTGCGACATCTTCAAAGTTTTGACCTCTTCGAAATGTGAAAAGGCGAATACCTTAACTCATTCTAAAGTACAGCCACGTAACCCAAAAAACAGCTATTTAACCAAAATCTATTTAACCAACATAGCAAATTTTCGCAAATTCCATTAATTCTGCCAATTTTGTCGATCTTCTTTTCTCTGCTTTGGACCTTTTTCTCCTCTGTCCTATTTTGAAGAGTATTTTCTGCTGCCAACCGCCACTTTCTCACACAGTATTGTCGCTGTCTCTTGACTATAAAGCTATTTCTTCCAATTTTATCTCTAAATTTTCCTATAGTTCTCTGTCATCTCCAAAATTGGAATTTTGCAGACAATAGCACACAGCTCAATCCATAAAGTAGATGTAATAGCTGGTGATGCTAAATACGGGTGTTCTACTTGTGCTATGCTGGACTTTGGCCACATCACAAAATCGGTTCCAAGTCGCCGCACAGGTCAACTGGTCTGGCAGCGAAGGTGAGATTACGGTACCTCTCTTAGTCCTATTGGTTCTGAAAAAGTTAATACTTGTTGTTCTTCGCTTCACATGTATTTGAATCTCTAGCACATCTCTAACCTTTCCTTTCAAAGTAAAAATTATAATGTTCATCGAACAATTGATTTTGTTGATTTTTTTGATTTTTTTCTTCAAAATGTTTGTTCAGTAAGCTGTGGTATTGGTCAATTTTCTTGCGATGGCCGTTGCGTGCCACTAAAATGGAAATGCGACGGTGAACCAGATTGCGCGGACGGGTCGGACGAGTTGTCCTTTTGCGGTAACGCTTTAGTCACATTCTCAGAGGGCGTTTATACTCTACTTCTTCATTTTAGCGCGATGTGGTTCGGACGAGTTTCGTTGTCAGTCTGGGCGTTGCCTTCCGAAACGGTATCTTTGCGATGGTACCGCTGATTGTGGAAGTAATGGCATTGATGATGACTCGGATGAGGATCCATCTATATGTGAGAAAATCGTAATGGCGAT